CGGAGAAGCAGCGCGTCGGTGCGAGCCCGGGATCCGAACCCGGGTCGCCAGCAGTGGAGCGCGCTCACTTAACCACCAAGCCACGGGGCCGGCCCAACTATTACTATTTTAAATTCAGTGATATTAACAGTCACCATTGCAACTGAGAGAGATTCCTTTCTGGATCTCCAAAATACAAATAGGTAGAATGATAATATTTCTGTTCCCTAGCTGGCAAAACCCTAATGTTTTCCAAGCATCTGGTATAGCTTTTTTAATATGAACAACAAAAATCAAATTTGCAATTCAAGCCCAAGTCCAAGTGCTAATGCATTTGTGTCCTAGATTGTAGAACAGCACTGGATTGTTGAAGTTCAAATCAAATACATTTCCAGCATGCGACCTGAATGGAGCTGCTGAGTATTTCCTTTTCCTTGAGGGCTGAAAGTTCTCCACTGCTGGCCCCTTTAAGCCAAATCTTGACATATTTTTCATGTATCAGCATTTGGGAATATAAGGAAGACATCATTTAAAATGCTGTGTTATGGTTTTTATGTTTTGTTTAGTTGTGTCCAAAATAGCAGAGAAACCTTAGCATCCCTACTGTCTGTCTTATCATCCTTTGCTCTACGGAAAGGTGGTCTGAGAGTCCACTTCTCTCCTTACATCCCTCTTGGGAGATAGATGGAGAGTTGGCAGGAAGAGATAGAACCTGAATGCGTGAGAAGGCTGAGTAACTCCCAAGCACTCTGCTCAGTGAGCATGAGAGCGGCTGACTGCACATGGGGAATGTCCTTGTGAGCTCCCCCACACCCCAAAGACCCAGGTCAGAGTCTCATCCCAAATAGCCTTATCTTAAGAGGTCCTTGGCCCTTCTGCCTTACAAAGCTGGAAGCTTCTTAGTATGATTTGTGCCGTCATGGAAGAATCACAGAAATCCTTTACTGAACATCAGCTTCCTTGCTCCTATATTACTATTATTACATATAAATGTTTTCTGCCATTAAGGGAAGCTGTGGTGCCAGGAGCTGAAGTACGCTGTTCATCCAATGCCTATGACAATATGGGCCGCTTTCATGTGTCAATTACTCCGAAGGAAACAATTCCTCTTCCATAATGGCTCCAGCACAAGTCTCTCGTCCACAGAATGGCTTGATAGCTTGCATTTCTGTGAAACTGTGAGGTGTGGGTGTGTGCGTGTGTGTGAGAGAGAGAGAGAGGAGAGAGAGAGAGAAACTGAGAGACAGAGAGAGACAGAATGCTTTGAGAGGGGTGTTACGACACCTGGACTAGTAGTAATAAGAACAGCTGTGCCTTTGGGGTTATGAAGCACTTTCACACAGGATC